AGGTAGAAAATGGAAAATGGAAGTACAGGCAGATCCTTCAAGTCACATAATTCCTTCTTATACTACAGATAATAGGGATGAAAGTGGCTTTCATTTCACATACATCGAAAAGGATGACAGGATGGGAAAAGAAAAGTCACAGAAATTTTCAATGATTATTGGGCTTTAATTATTACTTACTATTATTTATTTATTATTTAACTTATTTATCATGATAGTTATATACAGATGAAGAACAGATAAGGGACATTATATCAAAGCATTAGGAGTGTTAGTTAGCTAGTGCCTAGTTGGAATATGTAACTAATATGTAGAATTGTCAGTTGGTGCTTACTGGAATACTAAATTTGAGTAAAATTTTTCTAGTACCAAAACACAAATAACTGCAACATAAAACTTAGGGAAAATATTGCTTATTAGAAAAGTATACAGCTTAGACTTAGAGCTTAATTGTTAGCAAGTAGGTTAAAATTCCTCCAGTCCAATCTTTATGAAACTTTCTTCTTCAACATCCATGACAGAGAATCAACCATCCTGTGTTTTGAATTTCCCAAGGTAGGGAGCTCACTAGTTCCCTGAAAGATGTCTATTATTTCATTGCTAGAGAGCTTTAATTATTGGGAGCTCATTCTGACTTCTTAAAGTTTTACTTGTAGGTCCTAATCGTTACCTTAAAGCAAAAGTAAAGAAATCTGCACTATATTCTACATGAAAGCCTTTCAAATATATTTATTTATATGCAGAATAATATCGGAATATGTATTTGAATATTTGAATACACTCAAATATATTAAATGTGCACATTCAAGCAATGGTTCAAAGAAAATAAAGGAGAAATAAGTCCTTAAAATAACATTCACAGAATGCCATTTAAGTCATACTAGAGGAAGCAAGAAAATTCATTTAAGAATTATTGTTTTGGAGAACGATCCAAGATGGCCGATCGCTAACATCCCGGGATTGCAGCTCTCAGGGAAGGCGCGGAGAACTAGAGGAAGCCACACTTTCAGACAAAGTTTGGTCGCTCACGGAGCAGAAGATCCCCCAGTGGTGGAAACACAGGAGTCGCCAGCGCGACTCTCGTGGTCGGCGCAGCGGTTCCGCCGGCACCTCAACGCGGCAGCGCTCGGCGCAGAGTAAATGGGACTGGTTCCCCTTCTGACCGAGGTTTGGAGCCCCGGGAAGGCAGAGTCGCCTACTAGGGAAACAAGAAGGAAGCCCGACAGGAGAATCCTGGGCAGAAAAGCACCATCAGTTTTAACGCCGCTGCTCTGGCCCTGGGAACTAACAACCTGGACTTCCACTCAAGAGACCTAATCTGAAAGTTGGTAATTTCAAAGACGACAGGAAGATAAATTTACAATGACGGGAAGAAACCAGCGTAAAAAAGCTGAGAATACTCAAAGTCAGAACGCCTATCCCTCTAAAGATGATCACAGTTCCGCATCAACAATGGAACAAGGCTTGATGGAGAACAAGCACCTCCTGATGACAGAATCATTCTTCAAGGAATGGATAATAACAAACTTCGGTGAGTTAAAAGAACATGTTGTAGCCCAACGTAAAGAAACTAGGAACTTTGAAAAAAGGTTTGATGAAATCCTATTGAGAATAGACAACTTAGAGAGGAGTATGAGTGAATTAATGGAACTGAAGAATACAATACAGGAACTCCGAGAATTATGCACAGGTTTAAACACTCGAATTGTTCAAGCAGAAGGGATATCAGAGGTCAAAATCCAACTTAATGAAATAAAACGTGAAGAAAAGATTAGAGAAAATAGGATAAAAAGGAATGAGCAAAGTCTCCAAGAAATATGGGACTATGTGAAAAGACCAAATTTACGTTTGATAGGTGTACCTGAATGCAACAGAGAGAATGAATCCAAGCTGGAAAATACCCTTCAGGATATTATTCAGGAAAATTTTCCTAAACTAGCAAAGCAGGTCAACATTCAACCCCAGGTAATACAGAGAACACCACAAAGATATTCCTCAAGAAAAGCAACCCCAAGGCACATAATCGTTAGATTCACCAGGGTTGAAACGAAGGAGAGGATACTAAGGGCAGCCAGAGAGAAAGGTCAGATTACCCACAAAGGCAAGCCTATCAGACTTACAGCAGATCTCTCAGCAGAGACTCTACAAGCCAGAAGAGAGTGGGAGCCAATATTCAACATCCTCAAAGAACAGAACCTTCAGCCCAGAATTTCATATCCAGCCAAACTAAGCTTCACAACTGAAGGAAAAATAAAATCTTTTATGAACAAGCAAGAACTCAGAGATTTTATTACCACCAGGCCTGCTTTACAAGAGCTTCTGAAAGAAGCATTACACACAGAAAGAAACAACCAGTATTAGCCTTTCTAAAAATACACCAAAAAGTAAAGAGCACCAACATAAAGAAGAATTTACACCAACAAATGGATAAAACAGCCAGTCAACATCAAATGGCAGTAACCCTAAATTTAAATTGACTGAATTCCCAATCAAAAGACACAGCCAAAACCCAACGGCATGTTACATCCAGACCTGTTTCACATGCAAGGATACACAAAGACTCAAAACAAAGGGATTGAGAAAGATTTACCAACCAAATGGAGAGCAAAAATAAATAATAAATAAATAAAAAGCAGGAGTTGCAATTCTCGTATCGGATAAAATAGATTTTAAAGCAACAAAGATATAGTGGTAAAAGGATCAATGCAACAACAAGAGCTAACGATCCTAACACCCAGATACGAGACTTAGATTCAATGAGACAGAAAATTAATAAGGATATCAAGGACTCGAACTCAGATCCAGAACAAGTAAACTTAATAAATATTTACAGAGCTCTCCACTTCAAATACACAAAATATACATTCTTGTCAATACCACATCACACCTACCCATTAGTTTAAATGAAACATTGATTGGCCATTATTAATACCCAATTTTTTTCAAAATAAAGCAATATTTCCATTTACTCTCCCTCTTTCTCTTCCTCTTTCTTCCTCTCCTTTACTTATTTTTTTTTTCTTTCCTTCTCTCAAAAAAAAAAGAAATCAACTTGTAAACCTCTAGATCCAGGTCGGCAATGTCTCTTTCATTGCTTGATTTCCTTTCTTCTCTTCCCTCCCTCCCTCCCTCCCTGCCTCCCTCCCTCCCCGCTTCCTCCCTTCCTTCCTTCCTTCATCCCTTCCTTCCTCCCTACCGTCCTTATTCCCTTCCAAAAAAAAAAAAAAAAAAGAATTATTGTTTTAAAATATTATAAACATTACTAATTAAAGATACCACCATTTTAAAAGAGTTCTAAAGTCTTTCAGTCTTTCAAGTGCAATCTTCATGATTTTTGTAATCCTCACAAAAATTACCACTATTTAAGTAATACTTTCACTTAAATTAATTTGCTTCTTATCATAAATAAAGCATTTTGTTTAGATGGGGTCCCACTCTGTTGCCCAGGCTGGAGTGCATTGGTGTAATCTCGGCTCACTGCAACCTCAGCCTCCTGGGTTCAAATGATTCTCCTGCCTCAGCCTCCCAAGTAGCTTGGATTACAGGCGCGCACCACCACGCCCAACTAATTTTTGTATTTTTAGTAGAGACAGGGTTTCACCATGTTAGACAGGCTGGTCTTGAACTCCTGAACTCAGGTGATCCACCTGCCTCGGCATCCCAAAGTGCTGAAATTACAGGTGTGAGCCACCACGTCTGGCCAATAAAGCATTTTAAAAGGAATCTTTATATTGGGGCTGTAAATGGAAAGCCATTATCTATTTGCCATAAATAGAAACTAATATAATTCTAATATGCCTATATATTATCATGCCACATATCAATGGTAGTATGAATTCCACCCTCTGGGGGGAAAATGGCTTAAAATGTCTACTACTGACTTATTTTTGGAAACACATTAAAGCATTATAAACTTCCTTTTTTTTTTTTTTGAGACGGAGTTTCGGTCTTGTATCCCAGGCTGGAGTGCAATGGCGCGATCTCAGCTCACTGCAACCTCCGCCTCCTGTGTTCAGGCAATTCTCCTGCCTCAGCCTCCTGAGTAGCTGGGATTACAGGCATGCGCCACCATGCCCAGCTAATTTTTTGTATTTTTAGTAGAGACAGGTTTCACCATGTTGACCAGGATGGTCTCGATCTCTTGACCTCGTGATCCACCCGCCTCGGCCTCCCAAAGTGCCATTATAAACTTCTTAAAGCATTTCACAGAACTTTGAAGATGAAAGGCTTTTGAATTGAAAAAGGTTAAAATCGGTAGGAGTCAGAAAGATTTTTATTCTGCTATTTATGAACTGTATGTCCTTACTCTTGCTAGACCTCAATTTCCACATCTGTAAAACTGGGATTTTTAAAAGTAGCTTCCTCATAGGGTGCTAGATCAATGAAACTATGCAATGCCGGGTATGCAGTGAGCCACAATGCATGTTAGCCACTAGTAGTAGTGTTACTGCTATTACTATTATTTCTGTAGTTTGAGAAAATGTCAAATATTATCTATCTCCATACAAACCATTTTACATGGCTTAGAAGTCTTCGCCCCAGATCATAGCCTTAGATCATAGCTCACTTCAGCCTTGAACTCCTGGGCTCAAATGATCCTCCCACCTCAGCCTCTTGAGTAGCTGGGACTGTGAGGGCACACCACTATACCTGGCTATTTTTTTTAATTTTTGTAGAGACAAAGTCTCACTATGTTGCCCAAGCTGGTCTTGATACTTAAGGATACTGAATTATACCAATCATATAATACAAACTACATTAGTATATTTACTTTCTAGTATATTACTCAATTTCTCGGGCTACTTAGAATATCCAAAAAAGCATTTCCATATTTATTTATACAGGAAAATATAGTTCTGTTTTATGAAGTCCTTCACCTCAATCTACTGACATTAATGGGAGCTATATCTAAATCTAAAATACATAGTATAATTCATATTTTATATAGCTTTTATAAAATCTTTATGTTAATTTAGAGAATTTTACAGTAAAATACTTACAAATTTAGTTTTGCCAAGCTCTCTTGTGCATTATGCTTTTCTCGCTCATATGCACTTTCAACTTCTTTGAATTCATTCTTGATCATTTCCAAATCAGCAACAGCCTCTGCTTGACTGGCCTTTTCTACTTGCAAAGCTCCTTCAAGGTCTCGAATCCTTAACTACCAGATGACAGACAAGTAATTAAATCATGCTAAGAAATGCTAGCATCAATCTTAAATTGAATAAAATACTTTGGCAGTAACAGATTATCATTCATCCAAGTACTTCTTTCTTTCTGCTTTGGCTTAAAAAAGAAAAATAAACAAACAAAAGACAGTTTATTCCTTTCACAACATGTTTAAAGGAAGGGAGGAAAAGTGGAAGAATGAAGAGAAGAGTTAACTGTTATGAACAAGGATGGGCTGATACAATATAACCCATTCTATCAAAGTAAAATAGATATGTTGATACAACTCAATCTAAATTTTCAGTTTCAAATTTTGACCTACTAATCCATTTAGATACTTCTTTTATAACATATGATAAATTAAATGTTTGGTTTTGTTTTTTTAAGAGACAAGGTCTAACTCTGTCACCCAGGCTGAAGTACAGTAGTGTGATCATAGCTCACTGCAGCCTTGAATTCCTGGGCTCAAGTGATACTCTCACCTCAGCCTCTCAAGTACTGGGACTAAAGGTGCACACACCACCATACCCCAGCTCATTGCAGAGATGGGGTCTCACTATGTTGCCCAAGCTGGTCTTGAACTGCTAGCTTCAAGTGATCTTCCCACCTTAGCCACTGCTCCTGGCCTGGTTTTTGAAAACTAAAGGGAAATATTCTTCCTCTCTTATAAGAAACATTATTACGAGTATCTTTATAAGCCTAAGAAATTTAACTGATCTTTTTATTCCCAAGATTTCTTACTACAGAAAAGTGATGTTCTTATAGTCACACAATGCTATTTGACTAAAATATTTATGGTTAGAGTGAGTTGGTATCTGGGATTTACTTCAAAATATTCTGGAGGTGGCCAGCAACTGCAGTCCCAGGTACTCAGAAGGCTAAGGAGGGAGGATCACTTGAGCCAGGGAGTCGGAAGCTGCAGTGAGCCGCGACTGCACCACTGCACTCCAGCCTGGTCAACAGAGTGAGACCTTCCCTCAAAATAAAAAATGAAAAAACAATTTTAATAATCTGAAGGTAGGGGAGTTCTAGGAGGTAAGAGATAAAACACCATTGACATGAGATAAGTGTTTAAGCTGGGTGATGGGTATGTGCGAAGTTCATTGTACTATTTTACTTTCACATATACTTGAAATTCTACATAAAAAGACATTTTAAAACTATATTCCCAGGCCAAGGCAGGCAGATCACCTGAGGTCGGGAGTTTGAGACCAGCCTGACCAACATGTGAAAAAAACCCATCTCTACTAAAAAATACAAAATTAGCCAGGTGTGGTGGTGCATGCCTGTAATCCCAGCTACTCAGGAGGCTGAGGCAAGAGAATCGCTTGAACCCAGTAGGCAGAGGTTGCAGTGAGCCGAGATCACGCCACTGCACTCCAGCCTGGGCAACAAGAGCGAAGCTCCATCTCAAAAAACAAACAAACAGAAAAAAACAAAACTGTATTTCCCTGTGTCCAGTCCACCATCCATAGGATGAATAAACAAGTACATTTCCAAAAAAATAATTATATGTAGCTGTAAAAAGACTAAAAAACAACTCGTGTGTGTGTGTGTGTGTGTAAATTTAAGGCCTACAGGCCAGATGCAGTGGCTCACACCTGTAATCTCAACACTCTGAGAGGCCGAAGCAAGTGGATCACTTGAGCTCAAGAGTTTAAGCCTGGGAAACATGGTGAAACCCTGACTCTACAAAAAAATACAAAATTAGCTGAGCATGCTGATATGCTCCGGTAGTGCAGGCAACTTGCAGGGCAGAGGCGGGAGGATCGCTTGAGCTGGAGAGATCAAGGCTGTAGTGAGCCAAGATAGCACCACTGTACCCCAGCCTGAGTGACAGAGCAAGACCCTATCTCAAAAATAAATAAATTAAGGTGTACAAGTGCAGTTTTGTTACATGGATATATTGCATAGTGGTTGGTGAAGTCTGGATTTTTAATGTAACCAACACCCAATAGGTTTACATTGTACCCATTAATAGCTCATCCCTCAACCCCATTTCCAGCCTCCCACTCTTCTGAGTCTCCAATGACTATCATTCTATACTCTATGTCCATATGTACACATTATTTAGCTCTCAGTTCTAAGTGAGAACATGTGGTATTTGACTTTCTAAGTTGTTTCACGTTAAGATAATGGCCTCCAGTTCCATCCATGTTGCTGTAAAATACATGAGTTTATTCTTTTTTCAAAATAACTATTAAAAAGAAAGTTTTCTATGTAATTCTCCACAGAGTGTTCAAGAACAATGTATTACTAATATATGTTGAAAATAGCAGATTCCATATCAGTGTATAAAGTATGCTACATTTGGGGTAAATAAGTGAAAAGAATGAAAATAAGCAGGCAGGGGGTAGAGGAATGGGAAGGACAAGAATGAAAGCAAAAATTCTCAATCTTTTAATATTGTTTTAATTTTTGAACTCTGTGGATAGTTTACCTTTTCAGGAAATAAAGTTTAAAAGAAAAATAGTTTCTTTTTAGAAAATAGTTTAAAGAGGGGGTGGGAATAGAAAAAACTGTTTGACATTAAATAGAAAATGGGCTTTAGAACCATAAAACTTGGGTCTGACTCTGTCTAAACATGACAGATACTAGAATAAAACAAACCAACAAAACTCAGGTTAAATCCCAGAATTACAAAATTAACAAATGCAACTTTGGGCATATTACTAAAACTTTAAATACTTGAGGCTTCTCATCTATAGTGAATAATAATAATGTCATCTAAACTATCTACTTTATGAGGTTGCTACAAGGATCTAATGAGACAATGTTTAATCAATATTTATTAAGTATGTAATATGTGCCACTCAATATCCTAATGCTCAAGATATATACAATAATCATGAAACTACACAGTCTTAGCTCTTGAGGAATTTATAGGCTTTAAGAGACTGCAACATGATATGGTATATCCTTCCTGTGAAAGAGGCATGCACAGGGGTCCAGAATTCAGAGAAAAGCTGTGGAACTCTGTGTGAGACAAGCCTCACAGGAATGGCAACAGATAACCTGAGTTAGGAAAGATAAACTTACCAGGAAACAAAGCATAAGACACTATGAAAGTGTTTCAAAATTAATCATATAAATGATAATTACCAGAATTATTTCTGATTATCCAAAAATATTCTGAAATACTTGAAATATTCATTCTTTTTTGGGGGGTGGGGACAGAGTCTCACTCTGTCACCCAGGCTGGAGTACAGTGGCATGATCTCGGCTCACTGCAACCTTCACCTCCCAGGCTCAAGCAATTCTCATGCCTCAGCTCTGGAGTAGCTGGGACTACAGGTGTGCGCCACCACGCCCAGCTAATTTTTGTATTTTTAGCGAGACACGGTTTCGTCACATTGGCTGGGCTGGTCCTGAACTTCTGGCCTCCAGTGATCCGCCTGCCTTAGCCTCCCAAAGTGCTGAGATTACAGGTGTGAGCCACTGCACCTGGCATAAAATGTTTATTCTTACACTAAAGTAAGGAAGTAAAATAGGTAGATGCAACTCGATTTAAATTTTCAAATTATACCTTTTAAACTCTATTTTTCTTTGTTATTTTGTCTAAATCCAATGTTTGTAAGTCAAATAGTAAATCTGGGAAATACTTTCTTCTTGTCTACACCACTATCTTTTTTCAGAAAAGAAGCACACTCAATCACAAATGATAAACCAATCCAATTGAAAGAAAAATAAGCTATAAAATAACAGATTTGAGTCAGCCCTTTTAATTTTAAGTCTGGTTTCTCATTTTTATATCAAAGCATACAAACAAACTTAATAACAAATTTCAAATACATATTCAACAGCATTTCATAAGATGATTAGTTACAGCAACTTAGTACTTTACTTTGCATTAAACTGCTCTGAAACTGAATGGCATTAGAGGTACCTCATTGAAAACACTTTTAAATATTTATAGATTTATGATTCAAATATAAGCTTTTCGTTTTTTCTAAGTCATAGCACTGAAATATCAAATATTAATTTTAAACTATATAAGTAAAAAATAGGTAATAATTTTCATTTTTATAGCAATTAACTATATATTCCCAGTGATGTATCACAAATACAATGGAAAACCTAATTTTGAAATTACATTATTTTTCATGAATTTAAAACTTCAGCCAAAGGAAAGGTTTATATACTGCTGGTGGGAATGTAAATTAGCTCAGCCACTGTGGAAAGTGGAGCAGAGATTTCTCAAAAAACTTAGAACTATCAGTTGACCCAGCAATCCTATTACTGAGTATATATCCAAAAGAAAATAAATCATTCTACCAAAAAAACACATGCACTTTCATGTTCATCACAGCACTATTCATAATAGCAAAGACATGGAATCAATGCAGGTGCTCATCAATCAATGATGGATTGGATAAAGAAAATGTGGTATATATATATACCATGGATTACTATGCAGCTATAAAAAAGAACAAAATCATGTCCTGCTCAGCAACAAGGATGCAGTTGGAAGCCCTTATCCTAAGCAAATTAACACAGGAATAGAAAGCCAAATACCACATTCTCACTTATAAGCAGAAGCTAAACACTGGATACTCGTGGACATAAAGATGGCAGCAATACACACTGTGGACTACTAGAGGGAGGAGGGTGAGAAAGGGGCAAAAGTTGAAAAATTAATGATTGGGTACTATGCTGACCTCCTGGGTGATGAAATCAGTCATCCCCAAACCTCAGCATTGGGCAATATACCCAGATAACAAACTACATGTGTACCCCCGAATCTAAAGTAAAAGTTGAAATCATAAAAGGAAACAATAAAAAGAAAAGAAAAAGAAAACCAGCCTTTTTACTTATTGATGCCATTTTGGTGACCTAATCTTTAAAAAAAAACTTACACAAGTTTGCTTTAACAAATAGACATGCTCAAATATAGGGATCTGAGAATTTTAGATAAAAATGATATTTCATTAAAGTCAAAGTAAAAACATAAATTTTTAATATAAAATCTTTTATTTAAAGGAAGGGAGTGTTGCATCTTGAATTAAGGAGTTATTTAAACAATAAGGTAAAATGCTATAAATTGTTTTAATTAAAACAAGATAGAAAAAAGTCAGTCTTTTAAAATGTAAATTAAACTAAGTGATTTAGACATGTTTAAAGCAGCAGCTTTTGATACAAGTAGCTTTTGATATAAATATCAAATCTAAGTTTTAGAAAAATAAATCTGATAACTAACATTGGCAAAGTAAGGTAGTGGTGACAGGAAGTTGGGTGAAGAGATAATGAACACCTAAGGCAAACACCTAAATCAAGGCAGTAACTTTTTTTAGTGTAAATTTATTTTAATCTGTCTGCTTATAGCTACTTTTCAGTTACTGATTTTGGCAATCCCAACATCCCACTTGATACGAAATTCAACAGTACAAATAAAGTGAGACGATTTTCAAACTTGCTAAAGCTAAACAAGCTTAAAACTACTTTTTCTTCTGGAAATAGGTACATATATTTTATTTTCATATAGTCTATTACATTTGTCACAAAGCAATGTTTAAACATAGTAACTAACCAGCTAAATAGCATGAAATAAGAGCATCTTAACAGTTAATATGAGAATCTAAGTTCATAAAGACTTTCTACCTTCTCAGATTTAAACAAACAAAAATACTATTATAGGTATATAATCTTCATTAAAATTAATCTCTTTAACAGAAGCATAACAAATACCATATTTATTAGATTTTAAAGCATATTGTCAAAATGCTGAGAAAGGATTTAACCAAAAAGTCATAATTGTTTATAAAATATTATATTCAAAAAAGTAGCAGGCCCATCAAATCTCCTCCTATGTAATTTCCTTAACTTTCCTAATGCCTGAAAAACTGGCTGATCCAAGATAAGCTAAAGGCAGTTGCTTGAGAGAATAGAAGGAAAGGAACTGTTCACACATAGCAGGTTGACAAGAGTAAACATACATTGTTCAGGTGACTTTGCATGACCATATTCTCAAAGAGCACTATGAACCTCTAAACTGCTCCTCAAAGTCAACATGTTCAAAACTTACCATCGTCTCTCTTCAGACTTCAGAGTTTGACAGTCAACTGCATCTGCCCACATTCACACATTGCAAACCTTGATGTTCTCTTCTATCGCTCTTTCCTCCCCATATACTGCAAGTTAGTTACCTATAATCATGCTTTTCACTGTGTCCCCTGTATCTTTCCAATCACTGCTATTACCAATTATCACAAACTAGCAACTTAAAACAACATAAATGTATTATCTTACAGTTGTGGAGGTCAGAAGTCTGAAATGGGTTTTCTGGGGCTAAAATCACAGGGTCGGCAAGGCTCCATTCCTTCTGGAGATGCTAGGGAAGAATTCTTGTCATGCCTTTTCCAACTTCTAGAGGTCACCCACATTCCTGGGCTCATGGTGGCCTACTCTGACCTCCGCTTCTGTCATCACATATCTGTCTGTGACTCTGATCCTCCTGCCTCCCTCTTATAAGGACTCAGAATTACATCAGGCTCAACTAGATAAACTGTGACAAACTCCCATCTCAAGATCTTCAAATAAGTCACATCTGCGAAGTCCCATTTGCCATATAAGGTAACATATTCACAGGTTCTGAGGATAAGGATGGATGTGGACATCTTTGAGGGGCTGTTATTCTGACCACATGAGCCCTCTTTTCCATTGCCACAGTTGTTGCCTTGACTCTGGCATTCATCATCTCTTCGCCCATCCTCCTATCCTCAATCCCTTCCCTTACCCACCAGCATGACACCAGAGTTATTTTCTTAAACTTAGATTTGATATATGTCTCTCAAAAGTTGCAGTGGCTTTCTATTGCTTTCAAAATAAGTCTTAAGTTTCTTAGCATGAAAAAGGACTTTCGTAATTAGTCTTCATCATGCCTTCCACCATTATCTCCAAATTTTTCCCTACTACTACAAGTATTCCTCAAAAAGAAACAAGCACATTCTTATTTAGTGGCTTTAATCAAGCAGTTCTTTGTTTAGAACAGTGGTCAGTAAACATTTTCTGTAAAGGGCCACAGAGTAACTCTTTCAAATTTTGTGGACCATAAGGTCTGTCTCAACAAGCAACCATAAACAATATGTAAACACATGGGCATGACTATCTTCTAATAAAAATTTATTTACAGAAGAAGGTTGCAGGTCAGACTTGGTCCATGGGCAGTAGTGTGCCAACCCCTACTAAAAACTCTGCTCTCACTTCTGTTAGAAATTCCTTCTCATTCTCTAAGACACAACAGAAGGGATAGTTTCCTTATGAGGCCTCCATTTAATTCCCTTCCCAGATTTAATCCTTTTCTTTATTATCTTCCCATTGTATTTCAGTATTTTGTACATCTATCTAATCATCTATATGATAGATATAGATCTATCTAATCATCTATATGATAGATATAGATGATTAGATAGATGTACAAAATACTGGAGATAGATAGATAGTATCTCTGATAATCAAATGTAAGTTAACAAAAGGAGTTCATTCATCTTCACACCTTCAGCTCTTAATACAGTGATATGCATAGGATACGCACTCAATAAATAAGGTGCATGTTTTTTCAATGTTCTCAAAAAGAAATTCATCCCACAGCTGTTGATAAAAAGAACACTCTAATCGTAAATTTTCGTAGACTGCCAGATAAGTTATCTGTTAACAACTACTCCACTCTGCCACTGTAGCACAAAAGCAGCTATGGACAAGACAAAACTTCACAAGAAAAGACAGTGGGTGAGACTTGGCCTGTAGGCTGTAGTGTGCTAACTCCTCCACTAGGCAGCATATCTCAACTGTATCCTAACCTTAAATAAAATAATGAGTGTCATAACAATATGTTACCCATTCTCAATGCACACCTTAGTTCTCTCAACATAGTGCTGTTTTTCCCAGCTATTATAACACAAATTAAGAAAATCCAGGCCATAACATTTGTTTACATTTTACCTGAATAATTTCAGAATTAAATTTTGATTCCAAATGTGCTGCTCTTTCTGCTTCAATGTTTTCTTCTAATTTCCTCACTCTTAGAGTAGTTGCCTGAAAACAAATTAAAAGTTTAAATTCATAAACATTGGTATATATAAAGAAGATATGAATCACTACAGTCCAGAATTGTACTTAACACTTTAGATTAGTGTACCTGCAGCCTCTTTTTTTTCTTTGCAAGAATAGAACATAAAATTCATGCTCAGGAAGAATGCTCTAGAGCTTGTTTTTTTTTTTCTTTATACCCTATTGAGGTATAATTTATATATAATAACCTACACATAGTGAAAATATACTTTTTGATAAATCTTTACACACACACACACACACACCCATTAAATCACTGCCACAATCAATATAGGAAACATTTCCATCACTCTTAAAATATTCCTTATGTCTCTTGGTAATGCCTTCCTCTAGCCCTCACCACCCCGCCACATACCCAAGCAAACACTAACCTGCTTTTTGTCACAATAGAGCAGTGTGTATTTTCTGGAGTTTTATATAAATTGAATCATATATTGTGCTTTTTATTGCCAGGCTTCTTTTCACCTACATAATTATTTTGAGATTCATCCATGTGGTTGCATGCATCAATAGTTCATTCATTTTAATTGTAAATAGTGTTCCACTTTGTTAATAGACCACAACTGGTTTATCTGTTCACCTACTAATGGACATTTGAATTGTTTCCAGTTTAGGCAATTACAAATAAAGCTACTATGAGCATTTGTGTGCAAGACTTTGTAGAGACACACTTTCATTTCTGTGAGGTAAATAGTGAATAATGAAATGAATGGGTCAAATGATAGGTGCCTACTGACTATTTTAAGAAACTGCCACACTGTTTTCCAAAGTGATGGTGCCAATTTACATTCCCAACAGCAATGTATTAAATTTTCCATTGTTCCATAGCCTCACCAACACTTGACATGGTCATTTTTTGTTTTGGGTTTCTTGAGATTCTGGAAACATTCAAATAGGCAGGTAGTGGTATCTCATTTTAGTTTTAATTTGCATTTCCCCAATGACTAATGACGTTGAGCATCTTTTCATGTACCTATTTGCCATCTGTATATCTTCTTTGATTAAGTGTATGTTCAAATATTTTCACCATTTTTAATTGGGCTATTTATTTTCATATTACTGAACTTTAAAAGTTCATTATATAATCTGGAAATGAGTCTTTTGTCGGATATATCATTTGCAAATATTTTCTCTCAGTCTACGTCCTGTCTTTTCATTGTCTTAACAGTATTACTTGCAAAGCAAAAGTTTTCATTAAGATGAAGTCTAATTTATCAGTTTTTCAGGCATGAGTCAGTTTCTGGCCAGAAGTAGAAGATCTTTATTTTTTAATACAATTTTTGTTAAGAAAATGCAACCCTGGGAAGCACCGGATTACTAGTCCCAAAGAGGGAATTGGTCATGACCAAGAATCTCTTGGGGGCAGAAAAAAGAGCTGTGGGAACACCCAGCATGTCTCAAGATAACAGTAGCAAAGAAAGCCATGCCTAGAGTCCTGTCTGTCCATGGGGTAGTTCGTTAGTGACAGAGAAAGGCATTACTAATTTGATTTCCCTTCCTAGATAAAATTTGGGGGAAAAAAATTAATACTCACTATATTTACTAAACCACTTAGCCTAAGCCAAGTTTTTTTAAATGTTCAACTTGATTAATCTGATTTTCCTTCTCTCTCACCATTTCTTTTTGTTTACAGAAAAAGATGGTAATGGATCACAATGAAAAGAAGCACAAATAAAAACTGAATAATCCACAAACTAATCAAGCAGTCTGTGAATAACTAAGAAATGACTATACTTCTTTCAGGACAAATCATTCCCATAATGACTATCATAGTGCAGAGCATTAACACAGACATCCCTTCTTCTCTAGAGGCCTTTGTAGATGGACTTAGTTCTGACGGCCTTCACAGTCACGAAGTAATCCTGCTTGGGGATATAATCATTTTGTGTTTTGAAAACATGAAATTCAAAAAATATTCTTTTACATTGAACTATTCACTTTATTTAGATTCTACAACCCCATCAAAAATATTTCTTAATGAGTTATTACACTAGAAATAGGTTTTCTTTTGCAGAAAGCAGTGAATCCAAATATGCTCCTTTTGGGTCTAAAGATAATTTAAATCCAAAGGATAAAATAATACTTTGAGTTAAATCTGACATAACTTATACTACTAGAGTGTTTAAAAATTACAGGCATTCCACTGAAAGATGAACTAGTAAATATTCGTTTTGTCTGAAGATCCAAAACACTCTGAACACCAAGAAATGAGGACTTTTAGGTATTTGAAGTAACTAAGAAAGTATTACTTTTTTAGGTGTGATAATGATTAGTGCTTTTTTAAACCCCTATCTTTGGGCCAGGCACAGTGGCTCACATCTATAATCCCAACACTTTGAGAAGCTAAGGTAAGAGGATTGCTTGCAGCCAGGGCAACAGAGAAAGCCTGGGCAACAGAAAAAGACCCTATCTCTACAAAAGAATTAACTAAATAAAATTTTTTAATTAATAAATAAAATAAACCCTTATCGTTTAAAAAATACATACTAAAGTGCTCAGGGATAAAACTATATAATATCTAGATATGGCTTAAAATAAACAAGCTGGGGGTTGGAATGGGGGTTGGTGTTCATAAAATAAGTCTGGCCATAAGCTGATAACTGTTGAAGCTAAATAATAGGCACATGGGAGTTCATTGTAATATTCTTCCTATTTTCATGTATGTATGAAATTTTTAAACAATAAAAGCAAAGTTATTAAGGTTAAGGGGCAGTATGACAGTGATATTATTATTTATCAATTAACAAATTAGGCTGGGCACAGTGGCTCACACTTATAATCCCAGCACGCACCTTGGAAGGCTGACTCGGGCAGATCACTTGAGCCCAGGAGTTCAAGGCCAGCCTGGGCAACATGGTGAAGCCCCTTCTCTACAAAAAAAATATATATATACAAAAATTTGCCAGGCATGGTGGCACACACACCTGTAGTCCCAGCTACTTGGGAGGCTGAGGTGGGACCACCTGAGCCCAGGAAGTGAAGGCTGTAGTGAGCTGTCATTGTGCCACTGCACTCCAACCTAGGCAACAGGAATGAGACCCTGTCTAAAAAAAATATATGTATATATTTTGACAATGACAACAACAACAAAAAAAAAACATTAGAATGAATTAAGTCTCTCATGACTAAACAGAAAAAGTAAATGGGAAGGGTAACTTTAACTCAATCTATTCCTACCTATATTGCTGTAGTAAGATAAAGCAAAGAGAATTAATGATCCAAGATGGCCGATCACTAGCAGCTCAGGCTTGTAGCTCCCCGTGAAAGCACAGAGGAGGAGAGGACGCCACACTTTCAGACGAATTTTTGTTACTCATGGACCAGGAGATTCACAGCGGAGGAGTCCCACGGGTCGCCAGCACTACTCTAGTGGCCAGCGCGGCAGTTCTCGGTGCAGAGTAAATGGTACTGGGTCCCCTTTTGGTCAATGTTTGGAGCTCCGTGAAGGCAGAGTCACCCATTCAGCTAATTGAAGAAGGGATTCAGGAGGGAAGCCAGACTGGAGACTCCCAGGCAGAAAAGCACCAAGAATCTTGACACTGCTGTTTTAGCCGACGCACTGGGTTGCTCAGATTTCAACGCTGGGAATTAACAAGTTGGACGTCCACTCAGAGACCTAATTTGAAAGTCAGTAATTACAAAGATGACAGGTGGATAAATTTACAATGACTGGAAGAAACCAGCATAAAAAGGCCGAGAACACTCAAAATCAGAATGTCTCTCCCTCTACAGAGGATCACAGTTCCTCATCAACAAGGGAACAAGGCCTGATGGAGAACGAGTACGTCCCAATAACAGAATTAGGCTTCAGAAGGTGGATAATAAGAAACTTCTGTGAGTTAAAAGAACATGTTCTAGCCCAATGTAAAGAAACTAAGAACCTTGAAAAAAAGGTTTGACAAAATCCTAATGAGAATAGACAATTTAGAGAGGAATATAAGTGAATTAATGGAACTGAAGAATACAATACGAGAACTCTGCGAAGTATGCACAGGTTTTAACAGTCGAATTGATCAAGCAGAAGAAAGGATATCAAAGGTCAAAGACCAACTTAATGAAATGATACGAGAAGACAAGATTAGAGAAGAGTAAAAAGGAATGAGCAAAGTCTCCAAGAAATATGGGACTATGTGAAAAGACCTAATTTATGTTTGATAGGTGTACCTGAATGTCATGAAGAGAATGAATCCAAGCTGGAAAATATTCTTCAGAATATTATTCAGGAAAACTTTCCTAACCTAGTAAGGCAGGACAATACTCAACTCCAGGTAATACAGAGACCACCACAAAGATATTCCTCAAGTCGAGCAAACCCAAGACACATAATTGTTAGATTCACCAGGGTTGAAATAAAGGATAAAATTCTAAGGGCAGCTAGGGAGAAAGGTCAGGTTACCCACAAAGGGAAGCCTACCAGACACACAGCAGACCTCTGAGCAGAAACCCTACAAACTAGAAGAGAGTGGGGGTCAATATTCAATATCCTCAAAGAAAAGAATTTTCAACCCAGAATCTCATTCCAGCCAAACTAAGCTTTATAAATGAAGGAAAAATAAAAATTTTTCACGAACAAGCAAGCACTCAGAGATTTCATCACCACCAGGTCTGCTTTACAAGAGCTTCTGAAAGAAGCACTACACACAGAAAGGAATAACCAATATCAGTCATCCCAAAAACTTACCAAAAGGTAAAGAGTATCTCCATAATGAAGAATCTATATTAACTAATGCGCAAAATAGCCAGCTAGCATTAAATGACAATATTAAACTCACAAATATCAATATTAATCCTAAATTTAAATGGATTAAACACCCCAATCAAAGACACAGACACGCAAACTGAATAAAAAGTCAAAACCCATCGGCACTCTGTATCCAGATCCATCTCATAAGCAAGGACACACAAAGACTCAAAACAAAGGGTTGGAGGAAGACTCACCAATCAAATGGGGGAAAAAAAACAGG